TTTTAATAACAATTCATTACAATGTAAGCACTCACAAAGCTACTTTGTAAGATACCATAGCTCCCTCTTAAAGTTGTCAGTAAAACCTTCTTCCCAGGATTGCTTTTTTAACTCTCTGAGCTAACAAGCTCAAATAGGTTCATGCTGAGACATGAGATGGAAAAAATTCTTAATTTTATGTATTGATTACATGTTTTAAAATAGTAATCATCATCATCAGTAAAAGAAATAATTTTATGGTTTGAAGGTTCCAAATCAAAGAAACCATTGCCTCAAGTTATTTTAAGAGAAAACCCCGAAAATTGAGTAATGATGATGTAAATTTGGTTTCTTATTTGGAAATGTTCTTTTGCAGCAAAGATCTCAGACTGTTTTTAACACTGAATGTAGTCAGCTGCATGAAGCTGCATGAGATTTTCTCTGACAACACTAATCTGTCTGATGACAGATAAAAGGTCTTCATTTGTATGATAAACTAGAAACTTTAATCTGAAATTATTTAACACTGTGTTAATGTTGCTAATGTTGTGTTAGCAGCTATAAAGTAATCGAGACTCATGCAATTCATACAAGACTAACCAGAGAGGATCATTTCAAATTGAAATATATAAAGTGATACAGGACTGAATAAAACATAATTGTGTAAAAGTCCAGAGCCTCTGAGCTTCTAACATTACACAGAGCAAAGGTCACTATCATGAAGTCCAGGGGTTCTTCATCCTCTGAGGGAGCTGCTGGTGAAGATGGAGAGTCCTGCTTGTTCCCTGCGATGAGCTTACAGATGATGTTCCTGAAAGGACAGCTCAGCTGTGATGAAAGAAAGTTTCTCCAAACCTCTGAACCCCAGAATTCAGACCCATCCCTGTCCTGTCCTCACAGTAAATGTAGCTGTTTATAATAATGTGGTCTCAGGGGGCTCTGTGTTGCATACCGTCACTGGTTCAAAGCAAAATTTAAAAAAAGAACACTTGTTATCACACTTTGTCTCTGCTTGCGTACCTTCTATATTTTGTTGTCGGTGATTAAACAATCATATTTGACAGGAGACACTCCCTGCCCCCCCTCCATATTCAAATGTGGTCACCTCTATCACAATATAAAATATTTAAATATTACTAGAATGGAAAGTTATCTCAATATTTAATGTATAAGGCCAGTGAATAAAAGAATTTAAGACAGAAGAAATGTTCCCATGTTGTTTTTTGCATATTTTATATTGCCTATAACATATTGAGTTTGTAGGTCTGTGGCTCGCTTTCAGCTATACAACGCACAACATGTACAGAGGAGAGAAGGGGGTCACAGCTCCTGCAACGGATGAAATGTAGACAAAATGCTCAAAGAATTCTGAATTGAAATCATCATCATTGTCACTTTGTCTTCTGTGGTTTTCAGGCTTTTGTGCATTCCT